AATGATTATGCCAACCTTGAGTATGCTACTCTGAGTGATTTCTCATAGTAACTTTACCAACTTATATGTTTTATAAATCAGATGCATGAATTTGGTTGAGTTCAAATGATAGCCATCCAAGCCTAAAGTGACAAAACTCTAAGCTTTCATAAATTCATCAGAAAAAATTCCAACACTATTGCTTTGCTTCTAGCAGCAATGAACAACAGCCACTGGGTCCAAGAAACAGGGGCAGAATTAACTTCTGAGAGGATTTCCCCCTTCCCACTCCTTTGGCATTGCAGAGCCAGGTGGGTATAGCTAGGTCATCAAGAGTAACTAGACAGTATTCCTTGACTGTTGCTATCATATGTGCTTCCACCAACAAAATGTTGCAATGTCAAGTATTCCTCATAATAGGCTCCTATTATGAGTAGATTCTTCGGAGAAAGGGTGTCTTCGTCTGAGCTGCCATAACAGAATACCTGGGACTGGGTAATTTATAAAGAAGAGAAATTTGGCTGGGTGCAGTGGCTCATGCCTGTAATCCCAGTACTTTGGCAGGCTGAGGCGGGTTGATCACTTGAGGTCAGGAGTTCAAGACCATACTGGCTGACATGGTGAAACTCTGTCTCTATTAAAAATACAAAAATTAGGTGGGCATGGTGGCCGGCGCCTGTAATTCCAACTACTCAGGAAGCTGAGGCATGAGAATTGCTTGAATCCAGGAGGCGGAGGTTACAGTGAGCCGAGATCATGCTTCTGCACGCCAGCCTGGGTGACAGAGTGAGACTCCGTCTCAAAAACAAAACAAAAACCTGTGAAGGTATCTAAGAAAGCATCACCATGTTGGCCAGGCTGGTCTCGAACACCCAACCTCAAGAAATCCACCTGCCTCAGCCTCCCAGTGCTGGGATTACAGGCATGAGCCACCGCGCCCGGCCCCTTCACAGGTTTTAAAAGGCCAAGAGCAAAAGGAATTAAGCAACAAATAACGGCCTCAAGAAAGAGAGGCAGCAGAAGAATCACCGTCACTGCTTTTCTTGAGGCAAGTACGAAGTCACAATTGGGCCCCACAATTGATTGGTAACCTTTAACACAGTCCCCTTCATTAGCCTGGACAAGAAAGTCCTGGTCAGTTGTTTGCCTTCTCTTTTGGCTATATTCAGCATATAAAGTTGCCTGTTATCAAGATGAACAGCATTTATGAACATGAACCATAGAGTTAATACTGAATACACTTGAAGTTGCTTTTAAAACAGACTTGGTTTCTGGCCGAGTGCAGTGGCTCATGTCTGTAATCCCAGCACTTTGGGAAGCCGAGGCAGGCGAATGACCTGAGGTCAGGAGTTCAAGACCAGCCTGGGCAATATGGTGAAACTCCGTCTCTACTAAAAAATACAAAAATTAGCCAGACATGGTGATGCGTGCCTGTAATCTCAGCTGCTGGGGAGGCTGAGGCAGGAGAATCGCTTGAACCTAGGAGGCGGAGGTTGCAGTAAGCTGAGATCACACCACTGTACTCCGGCCTGGGCAACAGAATGAGACTCTGTCTCAAAGATACAAAAAAATAAAAAATAAACTAGGTTTCTTCCAAATATATTTACCACATTCGCATGTGCAGTATTTTGCCGTTTTTGTATATTTTTAAATTTAAAAATGTTTAAGTTAATGCTAATACAACTCATACTAAACAAAGTATTGGTACTAGTGATCAGACAAGGACTTGCAGGGGGAGACGGGAATAGGAATTCAGGAAAATAACCTACAAGAATGAATCAGAAAAGACATCTTTAACTATAGAAAAACCTTTAATAACAACTTCAGATTTACATGACCCTTCCGCTGCTCAGAACACTATGGATTAACACACACACTGGAAAGATACAGACACAGGAATCTGCTGCACTACCCCAATTGGCAGAGTCTTGACTGGGGCTTCAGCTCCTTTCCCAATCCAAAACTGGCACCTTTGCCCATGGAAATTCAAACTGCATCTCTAAATGATGGGGTGCATGAACTGTCTGCTTCAAAGGTATTTAAAAACAAACAGGAAGTACAGCTACCATTTCATTAAGCAACCACCACCACAAAGCATGGTGCAGTATCTACTAGCTTAAAGTTTATCACTCCATTAGGGCTTATTGACAGCAGAAATGTGAATGTAGTCATGTAGAAATAAGGAAGAGAGCACTTAGGAAAAAAAAAAGTACAGAGTAAGTTTTAGAGTTTTTTAAACTTTAATAATATGCTTGACTAATATAGTCAAAAGTGATATGCACTCGTGAAATTAACCCATTTTCTCAAGTCCAAATTAGCTATTAAAGTCTTTATATTTTACCAAAAACATATAAGGATTTAGTACACTATATAGATTATATAGTTTTCCTACCAACCTAAAGCTTATCAACTTTATTATTGTCTACTGACTTTCAAACTAGGCATTAAATTTAGGGTGGGAAAGAAGTGATACACTCTGTTTCAACTACGGTAGTTGCATGTTATCCTCTCTTTAAACCGGGCTGATATGTAAGTTTTTTTTTTTTTTTTTTTTTTAAATACAGGGTCTCACTCTGTTGCCCATGGCTCTGAAATGGAGGGAACTGGGACATAAATGTTTTGAGGAATAAAATGGTGTGATCACAGGTCACAAGTCACTGAAGCCTCCATCTCCTGGCTTGAAGCTATCTTCCCACCACAGCCGATTGAGTAGCTGGGACTACAGGCGTGCACCATCACGCCTGGCTAATTTTTGTATTTTTTGTAGTGACAGGGTTTTGCGATGTTGCCCAGGCTGGTCTCAAAATTCTGGGCTCAAGCAATTGTCCTGCCTTGGCCTCCCAAAGTATTGGGATTAAAGGCATGAGCCACTACACCTGCTATATGTAACTTTATTTCAACAAAGGGCCCCGGCCGGGCGCGGTGGCTCAAGCCTGTAATCCTAGCACTTTGGGAGGCCGAGACGGGCGGATCACGAGGTCAGGAGATCGAGACCATCCTGGCTAAAACGGTGAAACCCCTTCTCTACTAAATACAAAAAACTAGCCGGGTGAGGCGGCGGGCGCCTGTAGTCCCAGCTACTCGGGAGGCTGAGGCAGGAGAATGGCCTGAACCCGGGAGGCGGAGCTTGCAGTGAGCTGAGATCCGGCCACTGCACTCCAGCCTGGGCAACAGAGCAAGACTCCGTCTCAAAAAAAAAAACAAAAAACAAAAAACAAAACAAAAAAAAGGGCCCCAACACTGTATTACCTGATAGAAACTTTAATAATGATTAAAAAAAAAAAAGTCAAATCCTTATATAAACTTCACCCAAAACATTCACTTTGGCCAGGTGCATGGCTCATGCCTGTAATCCCAGCACTCTGGGAGGCTGACGCTGGCGGATCATGAGGTCAGGAGTTCGAGACCAGCCTGACCATCATGGTAAAACCCCATCTCAACTAAAAATACAAAAATTAGCCGGGCATGGTGGCAGGCACCTGGAAAGCCAGCTACTCGGGAGGCTGAGGCAGAACTGCTTGAACCGAGGAGGCAGAGGTTGCAGTGAGCCGAGATCACACCACTGCACTCCAGCCTGGTGACAGAGCAAGACTCCGTCTCAAAAAACAAACCAACACTTTATTCCTCAGAACATTTATGTCCAGTTCCCTCCATTTCAGAGGCATAAAGCCCTGAGATAAGATACATAAAACAATACCCAGAACAGACCTTTGTATGTTTAGTGTATGTATACATACCATATGTAGCATGGGTTATGTAGTGCTACATAAATTACATGAAATTTTGCATAGTATTAGTAAGCAAGTCACTGAAACTTTATTAACAAAAGTATGGGCCTGGCCTGGTGGCTCATGCCTGTAATCCCAAAGCTTTCAGCAGTGGGAGGTTTGCTTGAGGTGAGGAGTTGGAGACAAGCCTGGGCAACATGGTGAGACCCCACCTCTACAAAAAAACAAATCAATTAGCTGGGTGTGGTGGTAGGCACTTGTAGTTCTAGGTACTTCAGAGCACTATTTGAGTCCAGCAGTTTGAGACTGCAGCGAGCTATGATCACGCTACTACCCTCCAGCCTGGGTGACAGAGTGAGGCCCTGTCTCTTTAAAAACAAAAACAAAAACAGAGCCGGGCGCGGTGGCTCACGCCTGTAATCCCAGCACTTTGGGAGGCCGAGGTGGGTGGATCACGAGGTCAGGAGATTGAGACCATCCTGGCTACACAGGTGAAACCCCGTCTCTACTAAAAATATTTTAAAAAGCAGCCGGTCCTAGTGGCGGCTGCCTGTAGTCCCAGCTACTCAGGAGGCTGAGGCGGGAGAATGGAGTGAACCCAGGAGGCGGAGCTTGTAGCCAGCCGACACTGCGCCTCTGCACTCCAGCCTGGGTGACAGAGCAAGACTCCGTCTCAAAAAAAAAAAAAAAAAAAAAAAAAAAACCCACAAAAAAAACAAAAACAAAAACAAAAACAAAAAGTATGAGCTATCTTCCATTAAAATATTGATTCTGGAGCCAGGAGCCAGGAGCTATGGTTCACAACTATAATCCCAGCACTTTGAGAGGCTGAGGCAAATAGATCCCTTGAGTCCAGGAGTTTGAGACCAGCCTGGGCAACATGGTGAAACCCCATCTGTACAAGAGAAAAAAAAACTGGCCTGGGCGACAAAGCAAGACTCTGTCTCAAAAAAAAAAAAAAAAAAAAAATTAGGACAGCCTCAGTTTTCTAATTAAATTCTAACATGAGGAAAGCGACTTTACCTGGACAGTTTTAGTACATGAATCTACCAACAAACAAAACAAAACTCCATTTTGCATCATTATTCAAGATTGAGAATAAAAGGATCTAACAAATTTATCCTCATACATAAAGGTACTAGAAGGTCAAGTTAGAGATCTAATGAGAAAGTGAAATATATACTACATAGTTGTTCTGTTGGTTAATATGCCCAAAATAATAGTTACTATCATTACATCTTACAGACACAAAAGCTTTAAGCTTATTACTTTAAAATAAATCTTCCCGAAACATTAACAAGAGATTTTAGTTTTTATTTCTTTAAAGAGTATGGGGGTGGTTTCAAGAAAAGACTTTTGCTAAAAGCAGCTAGCAATAAGATTATGGCTATCAAACCAGTTTCTTTCACAGAAAGTGAGCATTCCTTGAAGTGCTACTGTTTTTGAAAGTTTCTTAGAGCAGTCTCAGCATTCTAAACAGTGTATAGTTCTACATATTTGTTGTCGCAATCTCGGGCAGAAAAATCACTAATAACAGGAAACAGAAGCCGGGCACGGTGGCTAACGCCTGTATTCCTAGCACTTTGGGAGGCTGAGGCGGGCAGATCACAAGGTCAGGAGTTTGAGACCAGCCTGACCAACATGGTGAAACCCCGTCTCTACTAAAAATACAAAAATTAGCCGGGCGTGGTAGCGTGGGCCTGTAATCCCAGCTACCCAGGAGGCTGAGGCAGGAGAATCGCTTGAAGCAGGGAGGCAGAGGTTGTAGTGAGCCGAGATCATGCCATTGCACTCCAGCCTGGGCAACAGAGCAAGACTCCGTCTAAAAACAAACAAACAAACAAACAAACAGGAAGCAGAGAGCTTTTTGAAAAATAGCCTTGATCAATCCAACAAATATAGTATTCAGAAACACTACAGAGCAACAAAGTCTTCTCATAAGAGTCATATTTATAGTATTTCTTAACAGAAATATAAACCTAAGAATTCCATTCTTTAGATTCAAAAGATTGGCTTGCTCATAACCAGGCCTTAGAGCAATCTGTTCCCAATATATTTAAAATGCAGTTATAAATTCAAGAGACTGATTCATTTTAATTTTAAGAAAAATGTCAAGAATTACAAGCCATATTAAAGCAAACTAGTTAGGAGGTTATGATTCCATTACAATTACAATACTGTTGTGCAGAACATTACTGCGGGAACATGCAGAATACTTTTTTAAAAATAACCTCCTTTGAGGTGTATTTGTGTCCACTGAAGTTGGATTTAATGTTTGAAAATTACCTAAACTCATCAGTTGTATTGTGAATAAGATACATGATTAAGCCAGATACTTGTGGTTCAAATTAAGTTGTGACTATTAAGAAATTCTACTTACCTTCTTGTGAGACTCAAACTGACTTTAAAACAATTCCAAACAATACCAAGAGAGCCTCTCAAGTGGCTGTTCCAAGTAACAACAATCATTTAAATAATTCGTAAATCTTACTTTGAGTGGAAAGTTGAACTACATGGTCTCTGATACCTCTTCCAATGCTCAATCTTTACAATCATACCTCATACATACAAATAATTTCTACACACATGGTATTAGAAATGGGCATCTTATAAAATGAAAGTATTACATAATAAGAGTACATTTCCTTGAAACCAATCACGTATTAATTTATTCCACCTAAAAACCTACTACAGTTACAAGTATAATAACTGAGCAAACACAGAAGCCAGCTTCTGGATCCTTAATGATCACTTTAATATGAGTGGAAGTGATTAATACTTATGTTACAGACTCACTAGTCTGCAAAATAATTCAAGATAAAGTCAGTATTTATTAGGCAATAAAATAATTGTTCCAAAGGATATTTCTAAATAACTTCAAAGAAGTTATTACCATAAAGTTAAAAAGGAATATCATCCATGTTAAGTTTGTGATAAAATAATTTAAACACATGATTGACTCTACAAATCTTTTTTACAAATTACTTCGGAAGTTATAAGAGGAAATGTTTTTCTTTTTCCTCTGCTATCTCTTATTTTTTCCTTCCTACTTCTGATCCCCTTAATATACAGTATTATTAATGTAAACTCAAGAATTCATGGTAAAGGCATCTTTTTGCTTCACAGAAATCATGATCTATAGAGAAAACAAGGTAAAAACAGGAAAATTGAACTTTTTTCAAAAAAATTACAAAATAGGCTGTATAACATTATCTTTGGAAAACAGACTTTTTTTTTCTACTAGAAATAGCAAAAATCGTTCTACATTTTTTCTTCCCCAATTGCATGTTTAATTAGCATACATTCCAACAGTGTGCATGAAAAAAATTCTAAGCCAGAGGTATTTAAGTGATTTCTTCCTAAGCGTTTTGGCTAATTCAGTGGCCAAGAAACAATGATGTTTATTCTCTGATTGGACGGAGTCAAGAAACAAAACAGATATAATTACCAAGGGATAAAGCTGATATGACCCAGCAACAATCTGTCATTACTTCAGCTATTAGTCTGCCTTCTCCCTCGACCCAGCCCCACAAAAAAAGTTCTGCTCTGCTTAAGTGTACAGGACTCCAGTGAACTTCCAACAGTTTTGCTTCAAGTGACCTAAGAACGGAGTAGTGAGTCATCTGTAAAGCCTGGAGTGGTTCAAATAACACAGATAACTTCAGTAGCAACTGGAAACAGCTGGCTCCAAATCAGGGAGAATACTCAATCTTCAGTGACAAGGAGGAAACAAAGTCCAAGCTTCTAAAACACGTAACGACAAGTCCAGGAACGTGGCCGGACATAATCCAAAAATGTGGGCTGCAGTGGGGAAAAATAAGAATGGAAAAATAATTTATTTGTGTACAGAGTAGAGGAGGTGTGGAGGTAGACAGGGGATGTTAATATGATACATTGTACATCTCTAAAATGCCTCCCACCATTTCAATAACCCTCAAGGTATAAGCAGCTCACTAATTCAAAAGATGTTCAGTACTTTTATCTATAACACAGATTTATTCAATTTAGATGCTTCACATAAAGCTTTTAAAGTCCAGTAAACTATACACAATTGTGTGGACTTTGACCAGTTTCTAAATAGGCACTATTTCTTTCTGTATCTTTTATTTTAGCACAGCCCTATTTTAGTACCTTAAAATCTAAATGGTGGTTAAGGACGACAAATATATATATATAAATGACTAATACAAGGTTTAAAATTACCGAACTATCGAAAGGAGGAGCAAATGAAGCACTACAAAAGTTCAGAAATAGGAAACAGAGGGAAGCAGGCATTTGAAAAATCATCATGGAAGATGTGGCATCCAAATTGGATTTTGATAGGAAAATAAAATCTGATATGTGGAATCCAGGTGACCAGGGACAGTCGAGAGCAATTACTTCAGATGAACAAAGGAGATCAGTATGAAATAAAGAGGGGGAGTTGAGGCAGCCTAACAGACATAGGATACACAGAAAGAGGGGAAGCTTTGGAGAGGAAACTGATTTCATTATGGACATCTTCAGTTACAGATGCCTATGAGAAATACCCAGGAAATATATCAAGAAGGCATCTCCTCCAAACCTGGAAGGTTGTAGGGATTGAATGACTTAGTAGTAGGGCCACCAAATTTAGCAAATGTAAGTACAGGATGCCTAGATAAACTTGAGACAAATAGCTCTATCTGTCATATTTTTTTGTAATTTACTGAAAAAGGCAGAATATAGGACATTTGGGGTGTTCTAAGAAACCCCATACAGGAGGCAGGACAAAAGTATTAAATACAGGACATGCCCTATATACACAAAAAGCCTGGCAATCCTACTTCTTAGGGTGTTTCCATCATGAAATTCTATCCATAACTATAAGCAGTACTTTCAGCTAGTGCTAATAGATTTAATTAACCAGATCACATCAATTAAATTAACCAGTGTTTGCTAGAAAATTCCTAAGTCTATATCCTATACTATGTTACTTGAAAATAAAATTCTTAAAAAAAAAAAAAAGCCATCCTCCTAAAATCTGTACCCATGTATAGCTAAAAACTAAAGTCCTAAGAATAAATGAAACCTGAATATAATTACCCAAAACCAAAAACAAAAATAGAATCAAGAGTAATGGAAGGCATCTCAGTGTTGTCCAAGAGTTTATTTAGAAGGAAGTAAAAAAAAAAAAAAAAAGAGGCCGGGCGCGGAGGCTCAAGCCTGTAATCCCAGCACTTTGGGAGGCCGAGACGGGCAGATCATGAGGTTAGGAGATGGAGACCATCCTGGCTAACACGGTGAAACCCCATCTCTATTAAAAAATATAAAAAACTAGCCGGGCAAGGTGGCGGGTGTCTGTAGGCCCAGCCACTTGGGAGACTGAGGCAGGAGAATGGCATAAACCCAGGAGGCGGAGCTTGCAGTGAGCTGAGATCCGGCCACTGCACTCCAGCCTGGGCAACAGAGCGAGACTTTGCCTCAAAAAAAAAAAAAAGAAGATATGTTTTAGGTGGTGGTAGTAGGGACATACATGGCATTAGGAAAACCCTGGAGAATACTTAGAAGCGGCTGGCTGGGCGCGGTGCCTCCAGCACACTGGGAAGCTGAGGTGAGCGGATCATGAGGTCAGGAGATCGAGACCATCCTGGCTAACATGGTGAAACCCCATCTCTACTAAAAATACAAAAAAAAAGCGGGCATGGTGACATGCTCCTGCAATCCCAGCTACTTGGGAGGCTGAGGCAGGAGAATCGCTTCAATCTGGGAGGCGGAGGCTGCAGTGAGCTGAGATAGAGCCACTACACTCCAGCCTGGGCGACAGAGTGAGACTCGGTCTCAAAAAAAAAAAAAAAAAAGAAAAAAGAAAAAGAAAAAAATTAGAAGGGGCTAAAGAAAAGGCAGTAAAAGAAGAAAACCAAAAACTAGGAGAGTTAAATGTGAAGAAAACTAAACAAAAGGAAAAACTTGAAGTACAGTAAGATCAGATAATGAACGAATGCTTTTACTCCTCATTTCCCTCTCTTTAACACTAATTCATCATAATCTCCACTACTATCCTCCTCAACATTGCCCACCAACTCTCACAATCAGAGAATAAACAGGTTCTTTTGCACTCCAACCAGATTGGTGACTCACATTTTTCAGAGGACAGTGCTGACGTGCATACCACTCTTGAGAATAAAAGCAGAGTAAGACTCCATTGCCCAAGAAAAGAGAAGTCCACATCATAACATTCCAAATTGGCTTTTTCCGACTATCATTGACAATGAAGTTGAAAGCCACTAAAGACAGAAAGGCAACAAAGAAACATACAGTTATCAGAGGTCAGAAGTTTGAGACCAGCCTGGCCAACACTGTGAAACCCCATCTCTATTAAAAATACAAAAATTAGCCAGGCGTGGTGGTGTGCGCCTGTAATTCCAGCCACTCGGGAGGCTGAGGCAGGAGAATCACTTGAAGCAGAGAGGCAAAGGTTGCAGTGAGCTGAGATCGTACCACTGCTCTCCAGCCTGGGTCATGACAGTGAAACTCTGTCTCAAAAAAAAGAAAGAAAGAAAGAAATATACAGGTATCAAAACATAATTTGTCAGAAGATGAGGGGCTTCAGATATATCTGCTGTTATCATTGCATAATCACAGTGAACAACAACTGTTTATATATTTTTAAATTCTGGTCACTGTTTCTATAAAGAAAAATAAAGCTTCAGTGTTAAAATCAGTAACTTACAAGAAATCAGTGTTTTCAGAACATGTGTATATATATTTCATGGAATTAGAATATTCATATTCCAACTTTTCCCTCTCTACTCACTCAAAAACTTGTCAGTTTTCTAGGGGGTGCATAATCACAATGTTTATGAATAGGAAAGCTGTTTATACAGATAACTTTTATGACCTACCAAATCAGTGTCATCAATGGTCTTCATGAGGTTACCTAGTTCATTTCTCTACTTCAAAGTGTAAACATCTTGAGACAGAGCTGTGTATAATTATTAAAAGTCAATATTCTGACCATCTGATAAACAAGTACTACCTTAAAATGTTACTACTACTATCTAGTTCTCCTACATTGATTTTATAGTTTCCTTTCTATCTGGTTTTCTTTTTTAGCATAGTACCCAGCACTCACAGCACACCAAGATACTTACTTCCAAAGAACATGAAGAGCACAAAGAGCACGGGATAGAAAAAGCTCAAGCAAACAGCCAAGGCATATTCGTGTACTACAGCAGATACAGCAAAGACAGCCAACATGGCAGCAGATTTGAATCTCTTGGAGAAAAACTAAAGAAAAAGGAAAACATTACAAAGTAATTTTTAAAAATTTAAAGCAAGCATGAATTATATAGGATGTAAAATTATATGCCAAAGGTACCTATTATATTTGTACTTAACTTTCTAAGTCTACTCCTTGGATTAATCCAAATCTATTAAAATAATTACAAATCATATATACTTACAAATACTTATTATTTTTCAAATATGAGTCTATTTTCAAAAGTATCAATAATTTATATTTGTAAGTTATTACAACTGACAAAACATAGTTTTCCTATATAAATGAAACATATTGAATTTCAGTCTTTAGAGTAACACTGTATGGTAGATGGGGCAAGTGTCCTCTCCATTTTTACACATAACAAAACTAAGACTTCAGAAGGAGAAGGGACTTGCCTTATCCATATGTGAAACTACACCTGAATGACAGAATTAGCACTCAAATATTAATACAATGCTATTTCCACCATAAGATGCTGTCACTAAGCCAAATGGTGCCCTCACTTAATAAAAACTGTAATCCAGATACCAGTATTAATCAACCAGGAGATTCAAGATTACATCTCATCAGTCTAAGTATATTCTGCTCTCAAGAATGTCTGAAAGCCAGGTGTCACTGATTGGAGAGATACAAATCCACACAAAGGTGTTTCTCACTGTAGTGTTTCTCAGCTGGGCGCGGTGGCTCACGCTTGTAACCCCAGCACTCTGGGGAGGCCGAGGTGGGTGGATCACCTGAGGTCGGGAGTTCCAGACGAGCCTGACCAACAACATAGAGAAACGCCATCTCCACTAAAACTACAAAATTAGCTGGGCTGGGTGGTGGGCGCCTGTAATCTCAGCTACTTGGGAGGCTGAGGCAGGAGAATCACTTGAACCCGGGAGGTGGAGGTTGCAGTGAGCTGAGAACATGCCACTGCACTTCAGCCTGGGCAACAAGAGTGGGGAAAAAAAAAAAGTGTTTCTCCACCTTCAACCAAGAAAAACGAATGAAAAAGACCATAGGGAGATTATTTGTTGGCAATGAGATTCATAAGAAACTATCTAGGCCGGGCGCGGTGGCTCACGCCTGTAATCCCAGCACTTTGGGAGGCGAGGCGGGCGGATCACGAGGTCAGGAGATCGAGACCATCCTGGCTAACATGGTGAAACCCCGTCTCTACTAAAAATACAAAAAACTAGCCGGGCGTGGTGGTGGGCACCTGTAGTCCCAGCTACTCGGGAGGCTGAGGCAGGAGAATGGCATGAACCCGGGAGGCGGAGCTTGCAGTGGGCCGAGATCACGCCACTGCACTCCAGCCTGGGCGACAGAGTGAGACTCCATCTCAAAAAAAAAAAAAAAAAAAAAGAAACTATCTATTATTGGTGGATCATTTCAACTCCAACCTCCATGCATTCTCACTTTGTTACGTAAGATAAAATTCAGAGCAAACGACACAGTATTAGACCTACTACTGTACACAGTGGTTTCTAAGCAGCACCATTCAAAGCAGGTTTCTACATGTAAATTTCTCAAAAGAAAACTGAAAATATACTATCACCCTTTCCTCATGAACAATTAAATATAACTTCTTCCATCTGTATAATACTCATACTTTCTGAAAAAGAATCTCTATTTCTTAAATAACATTAACTTAAATCTTGCTGCTTACCCAGAGAAAGTCCTTGTAAGCATAGTAATATAGCCAGTCATGGACCACCACATTCCAGGTTCTGTAATAGTTAGAGTATGACGTGGAGTTCCACCAATCCTGAGGGAAAAAGTAAAGGTATAAAACTATACACACACACACACACCACCCAAAAGCAACCCCCCCTGACTTTCCCAAAGAACACATGTAACAGAAAAACCGAAGTACACTGTGATAAACTGTTGGTTCATATGCTGATGACAGAAAAATCTTCAAAGGCATTTTGGTTATTAATGTTGAATATGACATGAATTCTCGTACTATGTATGATTTAGTTCCTAGGTTCATACACAACACACAGAACCATTTAAGTCTATGTCCATCTGAACAGCAATCAGTAAGCCCCACCCCCCTTACCTTGCTAGAATGTCATGAGAAAATTCTATGGTCATGAAGACCAGATAGAGTGCTAACACTAGAGAGCTGTTTGGTGGTTACCAGAAATGGCAAAATTACCCAAAGAGTGAGACGGTGGTCACCTCAAAGTCCTGGTATCCCTATATATATTTCTTGCTCCCAATTTTAAGATCAGATGAATGAGATCAGCTATCTAAAATCTGCAATCCGCACTTAATGTTTGAGAAAGAAGTTGGTAGACTTGGAGTGTTGCCAAAAACAAACCAAACTGAAAGAGAGCTTTAGGTAGGGTTAAAGAATGCTATGAGCCATTCTGACTCTAATTCTAGAGCTTTATTCCAACTTTAGAAGCATAAGGATACTATCTGAAGCAAAATTAATACCTTTCAAAACAAAACAGGGAAAAGTTATTTCCCTCATGAACTGCTCAGCTGTCTTAAATGAATAATTTGCTGAGGTCACTCCTACAGAACTAGATGGTCCATTTCAAATGAATGAACACTCAGGGAAGTCTCATGGTGTGCTCTGAACCAATAGTTTCCTACTGGAATCACCAATATATCCTCGCAGGATCCAGCAGAAACCATGTGCTTATGATAAGGGAGCAGACATTAGAGACAGAAGAAAACACAAGGTTATGCTAGTTATATCTGTAACTGAATTTCAGAGAATATTGGCAAAATTTGTAGAAAAGAAAATTATTTCACAATGTTTGTGTGAAAGGCTGGTGACATTGGCCAACAATGTCGAAATACTTAATAATGAGGAAGACAAAAAAATGTGAAAAGAAAGCTAAGTCTAAGTATATACTACCTTATAGAACATCCTGTCGCCAAAGCGTAACATCTCAGCAAAGGCATTGAGCCAGCAGTGCAAAAAGGCAAAAAAAGTAAGGAAGAGAATCAGCACACCTAAAAATAAGATTAACAATATTAACAGTCTTTCCAAATAGCTCACATGCCAAGCAACTAATTATATCACATCATTTTATTTAGCTGGTATTATTTTGTAAAATATAAGTTATTATTCCAGTTTACCCATTCCAGAGATGATATGCTTTTGGAGTTAATTATCTTAATTTTAAAACAGTAACTTCCTTCAAAGTGGGTTCAACAAATGACGTTACCTAGTCTGGGTTTTTTTTTTTTTTTTTTGAGACAGAGTCTCACTCTGTCACCCAGGCTGGAGTGCAATGGAGAGATCTCGGCTCACTGCAACCTCCACCTCCAGGGTTCAAGCAATTCTCCTACCTCAGCCTCCCGAGTAGCTGGGATTACAGGCACGTGCCACCACACCCAACTAAGTTTTTGCATTTTTAGAGATGCAAAATAGAGTAATAGAAACCCCGTAGAGACGGGGTTTCACCATGTTGACCAGGCTGGTCTCAATCTCCTGACCTCGTGATCCACCCAGCTCGGCCTCCCAAAGTGCTGGGATTACAGGCGTGAGCCACCACGCCCAGCCTACCCAGTTTGTTTTTAAGAAATGCCTAGATATATGGCTTAACCTGGTACCCAAGGCCCTTTAAAAATCTGGCCCCTATACCCCCGTCTTCAGCAATTGTTTAAAACTGGGGAGAGACTTTGGCCCCTCTCCCCCACAGGACATTTGAAATTCTAGAGACTTTGTTTTTAAGAGACAGGGTCTCACTATGTTGCCCAGGCTGAACTTCAACTCACAGGGCTCAAGTGATCCTTCCACCTTAGCCTCCAGGGTAGCTGGGACTATGGTGCAAGCCACTGCACCAGTGCTGTGACAATTGGAGGAGAGGGAGTTGTGCCACTGGTATCCAGTTGCTAGAGGCCAGGATGCTGCTAAACAGATTATGCCACAATGCAGAAGACTGCCACTCCAAACAAAGAATTAACCAGTCCAAAACGTTAACAGTGACAGTTAACATAGTGACACAGTAACATTCTAAACATATCTCCAATGATTCTACCCTCTTAAGTGTTGTAAACATCATCCACAACTGGATTTATGCCATTCCAGAATGCTCCACTCCCTTGCATCCATCCCACTACCTAGAATGACCTTTCCACCAATTCTCTGCCAGGCAAATACCTATTTTTCAATACCCAGTATTAAATATTCTCTCTAATACGAAACAAAGGCCATAAGCATTTTGTTTATCCTACTTATGTAGTACATATTACAATATATTGTAAAATATCCATTTATATGTCCACCTCTTTCACTCATTTATTAAAAAATATATATTTATAGAGCATCAACTATGTACCAGACAATATGAGAGAGACTGTGATTGGCTATAAAAGACAATCCTTGATCTCAATAACTTTGCAGCTAGTGAGGAAGACACTCAAGTATGTAACACATATTCTATTTTAGGGACAGATACAGAGTTCATTCAAATAAGTCTTGGGGCCGGTGAGGGAGGGTTACTGTAAGAGGAATGCAAGAGAAGAAAAGAAAGGGAAGGTGATGACACAAAACATTACCAACATTCAATGAGTAAAGGAAAGAGGAAAAGTAAGGGAAACTATAAAAACTCCCAGAGTGTAAAGATAATACATGTCTTGTTCACTTCTGAGTCCTCTGCACCTGGCATAGTACTAGGTACTCATATATCTTTATAATAGACAAAAAAAAAAAAAAAACACAATAAATAAATTTAAGAAATCAAGGTATGGCCAGAAAGACAGGAGGAAAATAAGAAATAGTGGTAAAAGGTCAGGCATGGTGGCTCAAGCCTGTAACCCCAGCACTTTGAGAGGCTGAGACAGGAGGATAACTTGAGCCCAGGAGTTTGAGAACGGCTTGGGCAACACAGGGAGACCCCGTCTCTCCAAAAAATAAAAACTTAGCCAGGCGTGGTGGCATGCACCTGTAGTCCCAGCTACTGAGGCGAGAGGAGCACTTGAGCCCAAGAGGTCAAGGCTAGTAAGCCATGATCACACCACTGCATTCAGACTGGGTGACAAAGAGAGACCCGGTTTCAAAAAAAGAGCAAGAAAATAGTGACAAGAGAGATTTCAAAATGTGGTCAGCAGCACCCAATGCTTCATGGAGGTCAACTTGGATAAGGGTTAAAGTACGTCTTAATCCATCCACTGGATTAGAATATGGAGGTTACTAGTAATTTCAACAAAGGGCATTTAAGTGGCTTGGTGGAATCAGGAGCAAGATGACAATGAACTGAATAGTGAACAGGAAAACACAGCATGAATGTGGACTGTTCACTGTCAGAGAAGGCACAACTTGAGTGAAAGCCAGAAGATGAAAGACTGACCTGCGACTGGAAGAAGGATACTTCATTTATAAAACAGATGCAAAAGAGGTCAAGATGGGTATAGACGTATAGAAGTTTAGATGAAAAAGTAGGCAAACCAAAGGTGCTCATAGGCAATAGCTTTCTATTTACCTCGTGAATTTATGCATTAATTCACTTGTTAATTACCAAATTAACAAGTATCCACGTTACCTGGCAAGATGGAGTTAAATACACATAGGACCAGAACACGAGCGCTGAAGGGCTCCTGTTTGATATTCCGAAACAAGGGGGCACAAAGTCTTTCAAAGATGTAGTACACATAGAAAAAGCAACCAAAGACCTGGAACATAACAGAGACAGAATTATAATAACGATGGCTTAATAAAATGGAAGGCGATGTTTTTCTCTCCAAAAGAAAGTGCAGATATGACCCTTAAAGTAACGTTCGCATATGTATTCCATTTAACACTAGTATAGAAGACTGCTATAATCCTTCAGAGAGATTACTCAAGCCTAGTTTCTACCATCACTTTTCCTAACCCTTTACCAAATGATATTTTTAAAAGAGCTTACTCTTAGAACCTGTTCTTCCTGCTGCTTAAAACCCGTAACATGGTCGGGTACAGTGGCTCACTCCTGTAATCCTACCACTTTGGGAGGCTGAGGCAGGTTGATGACTTGAGGTCAGGAGTTCGAAACCAGCCTGGCCAACATGGTGAAACCCTATCTCTACTAAAAATACAAAAATTAGCCAGGCGTGGTGGTAGGCACCTGTAATCCCAGTTACTCAGGAGGCTTATGCAGGAGAATCGCTTGAATTCGGGAGGTGGAGGCTGCAGTGAGCCAAGATTGCATCACTGCACTCCGGCCTAGGTGACAGAGCGGGACTTTGTCTAAAAAAAAAAAAAAAAACCCTTTTAACGAAAGAACTTATTTCATAAATGGGCATTTGATTGAGACAATGATTTAAAATGGGATCCTCCAGGATTAATGATTCTGATGGAGGTGGGAGAAGGAATGGGGAAGAGTCAGACCATACCCACATACATATACACCTCCCCCGAGAAACAGGAAGGGGCAAATTAATGTTTACTGACATTACCAACTAGAATTACTTTATAAAATAATACATTCTTTTTTTTTTTTTTTTTTTTGAGATGGAGTCTTGCTTTGTTGCCCAGGCTGGAATACAGTGGCGTGATCTCAGCTCACTGTAACCTCCGTATCCCAGGTTCAAGCAATTCTCCTGCCTCAGCCTTCCGAGTAGCTGAGATTACAGGTACGTGCCACCACGCCAGGCTAATTTTTGTATTTTTAGTAGAGATGGGGTTTCACCATGTTGGTCAGGCTGGTCTCAAACTCCTGACCTCGTGATCTGCCCACCTCGGCTGCCCACAGTGCTGGGATTACAGGCGCGAGTCACTGCGCCTGGCCTAATATATTCTTTTATTAAAGAAAATTACTTCTGATGTTGGCAAAACAAACACCATTTAGTATACTGGAAATAGTTTAAAAGACTGCGTAATGTCAACAGAAAGCATTCTTAGTTCCCAATTAGATTTAGGTAGATTATATTATTATCATAAATATGAATCCCCATCTCCTAATCAACATACCATAGACAGTTACAAAAACTTACCTGTGCAAACTGCATAGCGACATAACCCCATCTTACAGTGGGATTCCTGAAAAAGAAAGAAACAAAAATAAGGTTTCTAAATAAAGTAATTGAACTTGAATAAAGACCCTCACAATTAATGTTTCTTAGTCAGGCGCGGTGGCTCACACCTGTAATCCAAGCACTTTGGAAGGCAGTGACCAGGAGCTCGAGACCAGCCTGGCCAATATGGTGAAACCCCATCTCTACTAAAAATACAACAAAACTAACTGGGGGTGGTGGCGCACACCTGTAATGCCAGCTACTTGGGACACTGAGGCAGGAGAATCACGTGAACCCAGGGGGCAGAGGTTGCAGGGAGCCAACGTAGCACCACTGGGTGCTACGTTGCAGCCTGGGTGACAGAGCAAGACTCCCATCTCAGAAAAAAAATAAAATAAAATAAATTAATTAATGGTTTTACACACAGAACATCATTTATGACCATATGAAATACTTGATTATTCTGTCAAGAATTACTATAACCAAATTAAACTTCTCTACTCACCATTTGAGGCTTCCCAGGTCAGACAGAAAATGAAAACTCATTCTATATTTTCTATGTCCCTATGTTAACTGGCCCCTGTTTATCTATCCTACCTCACTCATGCCACACTTTTGGTGCTTACCACATTTCTGCTTCACAGTACCATTACCTGGGATAGCTGTCACGGTAGATAAGGGTAGGAGCAAATAAGAAGTACAAATATTGGTTGACTGTAGGTATTGGAACCGTGCCTAGAAAAGGCAAACTATAGTTAGATCAGAGGTTCTTTGATTTTTCACAGCAAAAATAAAGGGGGGGATACAAGGAAGCACATAACAGGGAATAATAAAATGACTTATCAGCTCATGTTCTTTTTTCCTGACCTCTAAAATGACTTCTTATTCTTGCACGAATTGAATTATTACCAATCTCTTTAAACCAAGTTATTCCTGTGACTGAGATAACTTCTAGAGTGTGAAGCAACACTGTGCAAAGAATAGGCAGGCACAGGTGTAATGAGGCTATTAACATTCCATAAAAATAATGCAAAGTTACAAAAGATAATCAATTTTTTTAAAATTGTAGGTCCAAGGGCAAAGCAGGAATAGTCAGGAAACAATGAAGTAGTCCTCAAAATCAATATGGATCATATATATTTGAAATAAAACACAATCTCTGCAATATATGATGTGACACCCCAGCAAACAACAAAGGGTGAAATATCCAGTCAATAATCCTTTAAACTAATGAAATTACACAAACAAAAGAAAAGAGAGAGAGGAAGGAAGAAAGGAAGGAAGGGAGGGAGGGAGGAAAGAAGGCAGGGAGGAAGGAAGGAAAGAAGGCAGGGAGGAAGGAAGGAAGAAAAGAAGGAAAGAAGGGAAGGGAATGGGATGGGGGGAGGGGAGGAAGAAAGAATGTACAAAAGAAATTACATACTTGATTTCTCCTTAGCTGAATTTAGTACCCGAGGCACGTTCTCTCTGACAAATGAGTGGGCCTTCATTACAAAACGAATCTACAAAAGCAGGAGGAAAAAGATGTCTGTTCAAAGAAAGTCTCCTGCAAGTGTCCTTTCCATTAGTCAAACACATTACAGATAGCCAATAAAGTCAGAAAATCCTGATGAGTGTAGAAACAAATCAAAATAAAACCTTTATTTAGATAGAAATAGTTACATGACAAAACAATGAATCTGACATTTCAAAAGTGAAGTTTTTAATTATGAAAATATTTTATAATTTAAATGACTTTTACAAAAAGTATTCAGGAACAAAATCTTGATGCATCAAAAATAGTTCAATGTGGCCAAGCCCAGTGGCTCACACCTGTAAACCCAGCACTTTGGGAGGCCACAGCAGGCAGATCATGAGGTCAGGAGTTTGAGACCAGCCTAGCCAATATGGTGAAACCTGTCTCTACTAAAAATACAAAAATTAGCCAGGTGTGGTGGCAGGCGCCTGTAGTCCCAGCCACTTGGGAGGCTGAGGCTGAAAAATCGCTTGAACCTGGGAGGCGGGGGTTGCAATGAGCCGAGATCGTGCCACTGCACTCCAGCCTGGGTGACAGAGCGAGATTCTGTCCCAAAAAAAAAAAAAAAAAAAAGTTCAACGTAATTTATTTTATTTATCAAAATTCAGAGAACATGGAAGCTAGAATGAAACTTAAGAGGTGAGAAGATTCTAGTTTAACAATTTTATAGATAATGGCAAAAGGAACAATACATGAAAATTTATCCAAGCTGATACAGCTAAAAATAATAGTATCAGTATGTCATCATCATTATTATTATTTTAGCTGAGAACAGCATCGCCCTGGGTAACACTTAAAGCCTTACCTGCTCGAATATAATGATGAACCGGGAGGCTGGTGGCAGTGTATATGCTAACACAACATATGTTGGTCCAAAACCTAGAATTCCAATCTGGAAGACCATGAAAAGAAAGCCATGGAAGAGAGAATTGATCAGCGGATGAGAACTCTTGCTATAGCCAGTGGCCCAACGTTGAAACAGAAAATAGGGAACTGAAAATGTAGACAGGAACATGATCCACCAGGTCCAAACAACGGTAGGAAATTTGCCAAAAGCATAGGACAGGAGGCTGAACTCAAGCACCAGCCTGGGGAGAAAAGGTACAGAAAAAGAACATAGAGGTGAATTTTTAATATACACTGAGTTCACAGAATTTAAAACTTTCAAACACCAAACTTTCAACCTTATGAAACACCACAACATTAATACGCTGAAGTCATGGATGTAATAGTTCTGCTAGTTAGAGATCTGCTTCTAACCATCTGCTTTACAATATATATATCAACAATATATGTTCTTTAGAAACAAGTTTTCTAAAAGTCCTAAGATAAATACAGTCTTCAAACTTAAGATATCTAAGATAATTGGACTTTGAACTTCTGAAAGATTAGATTCTCACATTAATTTTTAAACTCTAAAATATCCTATGGAAAATATTCAAAGAGCAATCATTCTTATATACAAAAGATGATTTTTCAGAAGAAATATGTACAATTTAAAAAATCTGTTAATATACTATACCATTATCTCCAAATTTAATTTTCAAAAAAAGTACATAATTCAATCCATGATTACCACACACAAATTTTAAGCTACAATTTGAGTTTTGAAATTTTATTTTGAGATCGGGTCTCCTTTGTCACCCAGGCTGGAGTGCAGTGGCACAAACACAGTTCCACTGCAGCCTCAACCTCCCTGGCTCAAGTGATCCTCCCATCTCATCCTCCTGAGTAGCTGGAACTACCAATGTGTGCCACCATGCCTGGCTAATTTTTAAATTTTTTGCAGAGATGTTGCCCAGGCTGGTCTCAAACTCCTGAGCTCAAGTGATCCTCCTGCCTTGGCCTCCCAAAGTGCTGAGATTACAGGCATGAGCAATCATGCCTGGCCTACAATTTGACTTTCACATTAAAAAGAAATATCAAATTTTTCAACCTTCAATTTCAATAAGCTACTTGTTTTAAGTAACCATCTTAAACAAAGACAATCAAAAAGTTAATCAATCATATACAGTTATCCCTCCCTATATATAGGGGACTGGTTCCAGGACAGTGTGCAGACACCAAAATCTATGCAAATTCAAGTCCCACAGTTGGCCCCGTGGAACCCACAGATATGAAAAATCTGCCATTTTTATATGTGTGTTTCACATCCTGGAATAGATCCCAATCTGATCCAGATCCCAGATCTGAATCAGATCCCAATCTGCCTTTGCTTGCAGATGTAGAACCCATGGATACAGAGTGCTAAACATATTGATTGAAAAAATTCCAGCCAGATGTGGCGGCTCACGCCTGTAATCCCAGCACTTTGGGAGGCTGAGGCGGGCGATCACCTGAGGTAGGGAGTTCGGGACTAGCCTGACCGACATGGAGAAACCCCGTCTCTACTAAAAAAAAAAAAAAAAAACAGAAAATGCGCCGGGCATGGTGGTGCATGACTGTAATCCCAGCTACTCGGGAGGCTGAGGCAGGAGAATCGCTTGAACCCAGGGGGCAGAGGTTGTGGTGAGCCGAGATGGCGCCATTGCACTCCAGCCTGGGCAACAAGAGTGAGACTCCATCTCAAAAATAAAAACAAAGAAAAGAAAAGAAAAAGCAAAACTGCCGCGTATAAGTGGACATGCACAGTTCAAACCCATGTTGTTCATAAGTCAACTGTGTACAAAGTTCTCCCATTTGGGAAAACTACCTAGAAACTACTGATTATGGTCTATTCAAATAAACCATTTTGAAAATAAAAGTAATGAAACTTCTAATTTCTCATCAGTTAAACTTTTCAGGGCAGAGGAATATCACCCTCAAATCTGCTGCTTTAGGATTTCCTGAAGCAATTTAATCAATTTACCAAAATTTAGTGAAAACCCCTAACTTCTCATGCATCAACTAGCCAGCCATCTTTTTTGTTATCTTACCTTCCTTCATCAATGTAATCTACTACAAGTGTGCTCAGGATAAAGAGAATGAGGAGGGCAATAAACATGTGATATATTGTTCTGATGTGGTCCACTTCAAGCAGCTCACTGTAAATGTAGTTCAAACAAAACAAGTTAATAATCTATATTCAAATTTAAAACACCATATAGTAAAGTCTTTTCTTAAAGCAGTTAACTTAAAGCCATTGAGAAGGTGCTTAATCCACTCTCCAAAAACATCTCAAAAAAGAATGGTCTACATTCTTTAAAACCTACCAGAAATGGATGTTTTCTAAGTAAACAAAGGCCATTCACTAGAAACAGGAAACAAACTATTTCAAATGCTAAGAATTTTTTTAATCCTATGCATACATTCTACTCCCTAAATTTAATATATATTAAGTACTATCTGTTTCCAAAATGTTAAAATTGACATGAATTTCTATAATGTTGATCATGATGATGATGATGATAACCAACTACTACCCTACACGTCTATAAAACTCAACCATTTACAAAGATTTTACCTTCTCCTCATTGACTTTTGTATTTAAGACTGGTCTAATTTTCTTTTAGAATGTAACAATAATGTAGATGACTTTTCCTAAATAAATCTTTTATATCTGACTAAAACAGGTTTTTTAACTTGTTTTAACTTGTTTCTGGAATGATAATGCTAACCTTCTAAATGCTTTTAGTAATCTAATATACTACTACTCAATCTCTGGACTAAGAATCTTCATAGTCTAAAAAAAACTCATCTGAGCCACAGAAAGCATGTTCTATTTCCTTGGTTAAAATTTTTTTTTTTTAGTTAATGTGTAATTTTGTTTATTTTTCATGTATAAATTCTATCACTAAAATCCTAATTATAATGTTTAAAATAAATTTTCTTTTCCCTTTTTTGTGAAAAACCTGCGTTTTCCCCCAGATGTAAATTTTAAAAGATTAATTCCTTCAAACTACAGTGTGACAGAACACTGAACACTATACATTACATGCTTAGAAAACACTAAACAGCACATTACATGCTTAGAAAACAGGCCTTCTTATCTAGGGGAAGTAGTAAACATCAATTTGACTCACAGAAAGTAACTTTTGAGAAGCATAAGATGTCTTTTTAAAGAAAAGTACACTTCTTTTTTTATTGAGACAGTCTTGCTCTGTCACCCAGGCTGGAGTTGCTGGGTGTTGCACCTGTCGCTCAGTCTGGAGTGCAGTGGCACAGTCTCGGCCCACTGCAATCTCCATCTTCCTGGGCTCAAGCGATCCTCCTGTCTCAGACTCCTGAGTAGCTGGGATTACAGGTATGCATCACCAAGCCTGGCTAATTTTCTGTATTTTTTGTAGAGAGAGTCTTGCCATGCTGCCCAAACTGGTCTTTGGCAAACTCCCGGACTCAAGCAATCTGCCTGCCTCAGCCTCCCAAAATGCTAGGATTATAGGTGTGAGTCACAGTGCCAAGCCCAGATAACCATTCGTATCCCTAACTCCTCTTTCGAAACTAGACACAGAACCAGAAGATCAGAAAGGAGCAAGAGAGAACATACAACAAAAAACCCACTAATGATTTATACAGATACAGAACAAACTCATTACATATCCATATACTAAGCAATGATTCTGTAAGAATAGCTTTTTTAAAAAATTCAAACATATTTAATTAAAAACAACTAAAAATACTCACTCTAAGAGAGATCGCCTTGCAATAAAAATCTTTCCTTGTTCTGGAGGTGCTCTCAAATCCCTGAGAAGAGGGAAAATTAAAACAAGATATAAGTACTTCAAGTATTATAAGAAATCTAATCCCACAGACAAGAGAATATACCAATAACACCATCTAACATTAATTGACCAATGACCTTTTCACTACTAGGATTACAGGTGCCTGCCACCATGCCCGGCTAAAACAGATCCAACAGATCCAAATTTTGTGTTACAGTTTTTATGTATGTTATTTCATTTACTCCCTCTGAACCATGCTGTGAGGTAGGTACATACACAACTCTTAAGAACGGAAAGTTCGCCACCCCCAGCCCCTATGGACTTTGGCAATCACTTTTCCTTCTTGTAGAGAATGGAAAGGTCGCCACACCCAGCCCCCGTGGACTTTGGCAATCACTTTTCCTTCTTGTAGAGATCCCCTGAGGTCACAGACAGGCCTCCAAGCACCCTCTACTCCAGGTCATATATACTGTTATTGATCTGTCCTCTGAAACTGCACTGATGTTTACCATACCCTTCCTGATATTAAAGTACTTCCAGCAACTCCCAGCAGCCTTCTGACCTTAAAGGTTGTTGCAGTTACTAAAAACTCCCATTTTAACATCTTGCTCATCTTCTTTAGGGCTTTTGGTACTACCACCAGCACTTAACTATAATTGGTCAAAACTATTCTCCAGAACATGAGTCTATGCCTCCGAACAGGGGCATAACACTGAGAAGAGCATGGAATGGCAAGTTAACACATATTAGCCTTTGATAGCCTTCACTTGATTATTCTGGATGAACCATCAATTAGAAAAGCATATACTAATGCCACTGTACTTTATCACAAGTATTGTATACAGTGCAATAGAGAGGCACACAGTGATATGGTTTTTTTTCTTTTTTTTTTTGAGTCAGTCTCACTCTGTCGCCCAGGCTGAAGTGCACTGGTATGATCTCAGCTCACTGCAACCTCCTTCCCACAGGTTGGAGTGATTCTCCTGCCTCAGCCTCCCGAGTAGCTGGGATTATAGGCACTTGCCATGGCACCCAGCTAATTTTTGTATTTTTAGTAGAGACACGGTTTCATTATCTTGGCCAGGCTGATCTTGAACTCCCGACCTCGTGGTCCACCTGCCTTGGCCTCCCAAAGTGCTGGGATTACAGGCATGAGCCACCGTGCCCAGTCATGATATGATTAAGAGCAAGGACTCTAGAGCCAGACTCTAGGTTCAAATCCCTGCTCTGTAATTTTGGACATTTAATTAAGTACTCTGTGCTTTAGTTTCCTAATCTGTAACATGTGGATAGTTACAGTTATCTGTCTCATGGGACCACTGTTTGGTTTAAATAAATTCATGATGTAGAACACTCAGCAAGCGTTGGCTATCTTGTTTTATTAGTCAGTCTGTTTTTTTTTTGTTTGTTTTTTTTTTTTTTTTTTTTTTTTTTTGGAGACAGGGTCTCTCTCGCCGAGGCTGGAGTGCAGTGGCGCGATCTTGGCTCACTACAACCTCTGCCTCCCAGGTTCAAGCGATTCTCATGCCTCAGTCTCCTGAGTAGCTAGGACGACAGGCGTGCATCACCACGTCCAGTAATTGTTGTATTTTTTGGTAGAGACAGGGTTTCACCATGTTGGCCAGCCTGGTCTCAAACTACTGACCTCAAGTGATCCACCCACCTTGCCCTCCCAAAGTGCTGAGATTACGGGTGTGAGCCACTACGTCTGACCTTATTAGTCAGTGTGTGGTTTTTTTTTTTTTTTTTTTTTGGAGACAGACTCTCTGGAGTGCAGTGGCACAATCTTTGCTCACTGCAACCTCCGCCACCTGGGTTCAAGTGATCCTCATGCCTCAGCCTCCCGAGTAGCAGCAATTACAGGCGCCCGTCACCACACCTGGCCAATTTTTGTATTTTTAGTAGAGACAAATGGTTAAATAACCATGTTGGCCAGGCCAATCTTGAACTCCTGACCTCAGGCGATTCACCTGCCTCGGCCTTCCAAAGTGCTGGGGTTACAGGCGTGAGCCACTGTGCCAGGCATCAGTCTTAAAAGAGGTATGCATGTATGTTATAATTTATACGTAAAGACAAAACTCCACTCTCCTTCAAACGGTTAAACAACTTTCCCAATGTAACACACAGCCAATAAAAAGTGGCACCAGGGTGTGAACTCAAGCATATTTGCTGTAGTCCATTTTGACCACTAAACTATACTGAGTAACTGTTTGCATTAAAAGAAAATAACACACACTTACTTCGCTCTATGGTTGTTTTTCTCTCCTTCAAGAATAGAAAAGGTTGTGAGAGCACACCCACCATTATCTAATGATGCTGATTTTTCAATGAGATTGGTCACAAAATCATCAAAGTGACTGCCAACTTCCTTCATAAAAAATGGCTTCAATTCCTAGAATTTTAAAACAAAGAAACACATGGGGAACTAATACATGCTTGTGAGTCATTAGCATTTCTCTAAAGGGCTCCCTTAAACAGAGCTGGATCAAAAGAAAGGCACAGTGAGTTCACAAGAGTAAAAGCAAAAAATCAATTCCTGTATCTGACTTGAAGTTTCAGAAACAGCTACCTAAAAAGCAACATAATGATGTATACCCTTTTAAAATGTATACCCCTTGTAAGCATAAAACAAAATACCTCAGCCTCCCAAGTAGCTATGATCACAGGTGTGCACCACCATTCCCGGCAAATATTTTATTTTTTGTAGAGATAGGGTCTCCATATGTTGCCCAGGCTGAACTCTAGGGCTCAAGCAATCCTCCCACCTCAGCTTCCCAAAATGTTAGAATTACAGGCAGGTGCCACTGTGCCTTATCCCCACGTTATAATTACCATGATTCTAAGTTCTTTTTTTTTCCTTTTTTCTTTTTTTTTTTTGAGATGGAGTTTTCCTCTTGTTGCCCAGGCTGGAGTGCAATGCCATGATCTTGGCTCACCGTAACCTCCGCCTCCTGGGTTCAAGCGATTCTCCTGCCTCAGCTTCCCGAGTGGCTGGGATTACAGGCATGCGCCACCACACCTGGCTAATTTTGTATTTTTAGTAGAGACGGGGTTTCTCCATGTTGGTCAGGCTGGTCTCGAACTCCCGACCTCAGGTGATCCGCCTGCCTTGGCCTCCCAAAGTGCTGGGATTACAGGCATGAGCCACCGCGCCCAGACTGGTATTGTAAATTTCTTTCACAGTCTCCCTCATCTATGACCCCCAACCTCTGACACCTCAGATGGTAGAGAATAGTACTTATAAGGTAACTATTTTAATATGATCAATTCATGTATTTTCTTTTCTTGAAGTAACATTCATATGTGAGTAGTTTAGGTATCCATATGTGAGACAAAATAACAAACAAAAAAGCCGTATTTACTCATTTCTGCTTGCCAACACAATTTCACAAAGTTCTTGACTCTATGACGATACACAGCTTTCCAAATACTTTTAAGACAAAATAAAACACACACTCCTCCACATCTCTTGCCTAAGTCACTATATTCCTTAAAGATAATAACCCAAGCCTTGCCTTTTCCTATAAATAAAATGACAGTAATTATATTTCTATAATCTATAACCAAATATACTCTTACACCAAACCTTAACATATTTCTACTCTAACTTCTAAACAAATGTAATTTTACATACGTGAAACCCCCACCACCTATACATAAACAGTAGACTAAAATACAGTGCCAGAACAGGCTAACAAAACCTCCTATAAGACTACTCCCAGGCAGTAGGCTCTGTCTGCAGTTCTCAATAAGACTTCTAAATATAATACCTTTAATTCTTAAAAAGCTTTTCTTTAGTTGACAATCACGGCGACTATGAAGGGGCTCAAGAATAGACTGCCCAGGGTCGTCTGGAGCATTACAGGGAACTGGAGCCTTGGTATAGCACAGACCCTTTGAACCCCTCTGGCTCCGCCATGGTTGTAGACGACAGGGTGAGCTTCTGACCTCCCACTTGGTTGACAGTCCTGAATATTATTCAGCTAGCTGCTTTCACCACTTGACACAAAAGTGAGTTCTTCCTTGAAACTTTTTTTTTTTGGAGACAGTTTCACTCTTGCTGCCCAGGCTGGAGAGCAACAGCACCATCTTAGCTCACCGCAACCTCCGTCTCCCAGGTTTAAGCAATTCTCCTGTCTCAGCCTCCTAAGTAGCTAGGATTATAGGTAGGCACCACCACATGCAGCCAATTTTGTACTTTTAGTAGAGACGGGGTTTCTCCATGGTGGTCAGGCTGGTCTCGAACCTTAGGTGATTCACCCGCCTCAGCCTCTGAAAGTGCTGGGATTACAGGCGTGAGCCACTGCCCCCAGCCTGAAACTTTTATCTTTTTAAATAGAGATGTGGTCTCACCATGTTGGCCAGGCTGGTCTCAAACTCCTGGCCTCAAGTAAGCCACTGTGCCCAGCCAAGACTGTGTGTGTGTGTGTGTGTGTGTGTGCGCCCAGCCAAGACTCTGTGTGTGTGTGTGTGTGTGTGTGTTTTGAAAAGGGGAATATCCTAGTTAAAAGATACTACAAAGAAAAAGATATGTGAGGCTGTCTGACTGGCTAGGTGGTACCGGTGTTTTCCCTTTCAATTTGATTCTATAAACAAAGCTTGGCAGGATAGAAACTATTACACGGTCTGGAACTGAAAACACACAGGATAGCACCTGACACAGTTACCACTCTCCAGGTATTCATTGTTCCAACATCTCCCTCTTGGTCTGAGCTAACCTATGAGGAACAATAAAACAATGTACAAGGAAAATTGTAATTTAAGCAAATCCTATCATTCAGTGCTTTATTGTTTTTTTTTTGAGACGGAGTCTTGTTCTGTCGCCCAGGCTGGAGTGCAGTGGCCGGAGCTCAGCTCACTGCAAGCTCCGCCTCCCAGGTTCACGCCATTCTCCTGCCTCAGCCTCCTGAGTAGCTGGGACTACAGGCGTCCGCCACCTCGCCCGGTTAGCTTTTTGTATTTTTTTTTAGTAGAGACGGGGTTTCACCGTGTTAGCCAGGATGGTCTCGATCTCCTGACCTCGTGATCCACCCGTCTCGGCCTCCCAAAGTGCTGAGATTACAGGCTTGAGCCACCGCGCCCGGCCTAGTGCTTTTATTGTTAACAGGTAACTAAACCTACCACATTCCTTTACATGGCATTATAATTACATGCCTAATGTTCATTTCCTAATGCCCTTCTCCTCTTTCTCTGAGGAATTAAAGTTGATAGAAGGTGCTGCCACCGGGGCACACGGAAGAAAGAACTCTGCTCTGTGGATGCTTACATTTCCTGAATCTCCTCCTTTCACAGATCCTAGCAGTGATGACAATAACGAGTGACTGCTTATTATTGTTACTCCCTTTGTAAGAGGGAATATTAAGAAATACAGTATAAGAAACAGTCCACTTCTGCCTTCTATCACATGAAACTTGTTAATTAGAACTCAGTATGTGATCACTAATAAATCTGAATAATGTCTGGTATCAGTAACTTGAAAATAATGTTGAGGTTAATGTTGAGGCTTTCTAATTTGCTTATCTTTTCAATCTCATATCTACTGATATTAATTTCATGCAGCCAGTGGACTCTGACAGCCCTCGCACCATGACAGATGGATGGAGAGAAGGAAGGAAGGGAGAAGGGGAAGAGGGGAGGAGGCAGTTAACTAGAAACTAGAAAAGGTGCTTATCTAGTAAACTATATTTTAGAGCTTAAGGAAACCTTTTGTATTAAATAAGCAGCTGAATTAGATAACCTTTAAGATTCCAAGAATAAGGATCAACCATGATACAAAGACCCTATGGTTGGAACACATAGTTAAAGAAACAAATGATAATGATCAGAGATAAGGCTGGGAAAGCAAGTAGGGACTAGATCATGGACCTTTAAGCCATTTTAAGAATTTATTTTATCCTAAAGACATCTGGAAGCCAATGACATTTTAAGTACAAGATTTATAAACATGTTCAGATTTGCATTTTAGAAAGATAACTCTTCTACCTAAAAAGGCTTCCAGGCAAAGATTACTTTGGACTGAGTACTGAAATGAAAAAAGGTCAGGGTCATTTATGGGTAAATAACTCTTTCAAAGGTACAGAGACATAAAACAATCTTAAAGTATGCTGAAAGAAAAAAACAAAGTAAACCAATCAGTAAATAATATTTTCAGTGTCTAAAAAAAAAAAAATGTAGGTCCCTTGATCACAATTTCTTCAAAAATGGTTTTAAAGAACATTATAGTCTAACTCCACAAGGTCATATTATAGGTAGTCTAAAAATTATTTCTCTGATTTGCTGCCTGTCTTTGCACAGAGAATCTTTTAATCTTGGTGGCATGGTACCAGAAACCTGACCTTTCTGAGCAAAACAAGTAACACAATGGGACAGGTAATACAGTGCTTAGGACTTATACTAAATTGACTCCTCAAAAAGGTCTCCTGATAATTCACTCTAAAGTTCTTTCTATTCTCCTCTCTTACTGAATCTCATTCTTTTCCTTCATTGCACTTACTTTGAAATTCTATATATTACTGCTTTTTGGCATCTCATTGTCTGCCCCCCACCCAACTGATTTTAAACACTATATCTTTTTGTTAACTGATAACTAATTTTGTATTTTTAGTAGAGACAGGGTTTTACAATGTTTCCAAGGCTGGTCTCGAACTCCTGGCCTCAAACGATCTGCCTGCCTTGGCCTCCCAAAGCGCTGGGTTTACAGGCGTGAGCCACTGTGCCTGGCCAAAGAACATTTTTAAGGTATCTAATTAAGTCACTGTTCTCCTTGCTCATGCATTTTATATATAGTGTTCTCAGTATGAGAACAGAAAATACAATTTCTTTAAAATCCCAGCACTTAATGTAGTACCTGATAGACAAAGAAACCAAATAGGCATTCATTAAATCGAACTGCTAAACATTCAAGGGCAACAGGACAGGTACCTGTCTACCTTTTGTAAGTGATGAAATCATAAAGCACAATAAACTGACTTTCCCAAAATTCTTCAAAATAGACTAGAGATTCTTACACTTGTGCATTTAAATAAAATGAGGAAAGGCAGAAAGGAAAATATCAGAAAAATGTATGGCCACACTTGCATAGCAAAAAGGTGAAATTTGACCAGTAGATTGGGGCAGCAAAGAAAAATAGACAGCCATAGTAGAAACTGTTATCTGTCAACCCTATCAGTGCCTACCCCTTTCTTAGTACCAGAATCCCTGATTTCTATGACTGCTTAGAATAAATAAACTTCCCAGTCTCTCTTTGCACCTAGGTAGCCAATAAGATACAGGTGGAAAAGGTTTGTCAAAGTCCACAGAAAATTTCCTTAACAGACAGCAGATACCTGTTCCTTACCTTCACTCCTTTCCTTCCGTCAATTTTGCCACTTGGAACTCAGATGAAACGACTAG